GCATTCACTCGAACATGAATGATAAATCGCAGGATTTTATGTTTACTGCTCACTCGTGTCTATATTGTCATTATAATCTATCATGTGATACCCCACGAAAAGATTTTAACACGCGAAACTGTTTATGTGAATATGCTCATAAACGGTGTAAAGAAGAAGCATGTGAAACTTGCTGCGACTATTCACGCTGCCTAGTAATTCAATACCCAACATGTGATGTTGAACGTGTCGCGCGAATAGATAAAAATTGTAGTTGTAAAGAAAATCACGAAAGGTGTAAAGATGAAACTTGTAAGAGATGTTGCGATTTCTACAATAAAATCATCTCTTGTAGAAACTGTTATCTCCGAGATAAAAAATGCGAATGGTCAAGGGTGATGTGTGAAGAAGATTTTGATATTAAAAAGGAAGAAATAAAAACTCTTGGTTTTTACTCAGCCGGATTTGAAAGAGGAAGCGAGTTTGGGAAGCTTCATTTACAGGGGTACATCCAATTTAATACTAGAGTCACCGGAAAATATGTAAAGCAACATTTTGGAAACAATTTACATATCATCATGCCGACCTTTAACCCTCGAAAAAAACAAAATTCAAATAGACCATATAAAACTGGCGCAGAATGTAGACATGAATATTCTATAAAGAGATATGATAAATGCGCGATACACATACATTGTTCATGTAGTTACATCGATCTTGAAGATGTATGCGATGAGTGTCTCCCCACGAAGGAAACGTGTATTCAAAATAGAAGATCGCTTGAAATAAAAGACAGAAATGGAATCGTTATCGAAAAGTATATATTCGGTAATCTAAACAAGAAGATAGGATCGAGAAAACGAATGAGAGATAGAACAGAAGAAGAAACAGCTGATGATATATCAGTTATCTCTAACGATGACGACCACCTCGGTCAAGGAATAACCTCGCCTAATCCTAGTTCATGGCAAAGAAAAAGAAGGCAGAATAATGCTGGTAAAAATGATAACCAAAATGAAAAGAAAATAGCAAATTATACAATGATGTTAGATTCTTTGGAAAGAGGGGGGACTGCGTATTCAATACTCAAGAAAAATCCCAATCTTTTTATGAAAGCGTCCCAA